CAATTTAAGTGGATTGCTTAAGGCCTGGATGCAAATTGTCGTCATTTCACATTTAATTTTAACTTAATTGGTTTTTAAAATAAAAAATGTACTTAACATTTCTTTTCCCTGGGCAAAGTCTTGCTCTACTGAAACCTACCCAATGCTGCTGCTGCAAAGCTTGCTTTTCTTGCACACTGCTGTGAGTCTCTACTGTTTACATTTTCCCTGTGCCATTCTCTCCACAATCTCGGCAAACCCACCCTGCTTGTCTTCCCCTCCATAAAACAAAGCAACGCTTGCTGTTCCATGGTAGCTCCAGTGAGTACAATGCCATGGACAGGAAAAAATTAATCTCTGTGTCAGCTATGAAACAAACAAAGGAACCAAGATTTTCGTGGTATGACCTGGGGTTGCAGACAGCAATTGTTTTAGGGCCTAGTACTGCCTTACGTTTCACTTGCAATCCTTCCTATGGTCACATTAGGAAATTACAATGTAGGAACAATGTGGACAAAGCATGTCTGTCTGTCTTGGAGAAGGGAGAAGCTGGATCCACTAGAACCACCCTGCACCATGGCTCTGCTAACCTCGTCACAGTCAGGGCTTAGTTGTAAAAATGTGCCCGTTTTTGGTCAGAAGAATCAGGTCAGATGGAAAGGCAGAAGCCTACCCCAATCTGTATTTTTACCTGTGTGTATATATGCTCTCAAGGCTGGAAAATTAACATACAGCTTGCCAGATCAACTGTCTGCAGAGGAGTCAAACAGCATGTGTTTCAGTGCAGGCTGAGAGCTGAATGTCCAGGAACGTCTCCCTTGGGAGCCTTCCAAAACCAAATGCAGTTTGTCTCTTTCCCCTTCAACCATCATCACCAAAATGGGTGGATCATAAATCCAACAAGACCCTTTTTCTCTCAAGAGAGTAAACAAGTCGGGACTGGAGAGAAACGTACAGATCAGAACTTCATGGTGCCAGCAGGTCTGAACCTTTTCAAGGTCACAGTGCTCCTGTTTTAAACAGAGCTGTGGAAAGCTAGGGTGTGTTTTGAATTAAAATTGAATTGTATTGCTTAAATGCAAAAAAAGAAATAATGTTACTGTCTCCACCGAAGCGTGGAAGGGAGGTGGCGGGCATTTTAGCAACCTCTGCATAGAGATTTACTGAGGGTAGTGATGGAGGAAAATAGTGTGAGACTGGATCTGTAAGAAACAGGCACTGGGCTGTCTTCACAGTCAAAAGTCTGCCTTTCTCATTTTCACACATCTGCCTGAGAAATTAAATTGAATGCATACAAAAAGAAAAAAAAAAAAGGAGAAGAAAAAAGACAAACACCATCTTCAACAGAGCTTGAAATTAAGTTTGTGTGAGAGCCTCTGGATTGTCTCAGGGGAGGGGGCTTTCCCCCCCTCCAAGTGCAGTTTTACCTCCAATCAGCCCTGAATGTGATGAGAGATTGAGAGAAGTACTTTGCTCCATTTAATAAGATTCATTCTTGCTTGCTCATTTTCTCTCCCCTTCTCTTCCATGCCCTGTCTCCTGGGGCCTGCATTAGATCCCTGCAGCAGAGTGACTCTGGGGAGCTTTGCCTTGAAAATGCAGGGCCCAAGGAGGGGAGGAACATCTGGTGTAACGGAGCAATACCAGAGCGGGTGCTCATAGGGTGTTGGTCAATATGCCTAATCCACTGCCCTCCCAGTCCCCAGGGTTTCCATAAACGGAAGAGGAAGGAGCATTAGTTGTTGTACAAGCATTGCAGAAACTTATAGTGACTACAGCCAATCAGAGCTGTCCCTCTTTTTTGGGAGTGACTGTTTTCTATGTACTTTGTTTCAGGTACTTTGGCCGCAGAAGTTCTTTCTCACCCTTTTGCAGGACCTTGGCTTCTAAACTTCACATTGTACTTTAAGCAGCATCTTTGAGAATGTGTTTGGTTTTTTTTTTTATTACAGAGGTATGAATTTGGCTTGTACTCTAGTATGCTAAATTTTTAGCAAGGCTTCCTCAGAAAAGTCTTAAAACTGCTTCCACTTTTCTGGGAGGTGGGTGCCCTGCTGATGGTAAAAAACCCAGATAGCTGATGTCATGTACCTTGGCCCAGTGACAGAGAAAATCAGTGAGAGCATTAGAAATAGGACTTAGATCTGCTAGCTTCTTCCAGGATTCTGGATTAACCAACAGTGGCTTCCTTTCAAATAGACATTTCACTAAGAGAGTTTGTCTTCCCCCTCCTTTGTGATGGAGAACTGATGGCCTGCTCAGTGTTTTGACCACCACTCACTTTTGAGTTGTGGTCAGCACCTTTGCAGAGCAATCTCAGTAGGGATGGTCACCATGTCCAAAATGACAGCTAGAGGTGCTGTAAGACTATAGATTTTAGGTTATATTCTCCTGTCTCCTTTTTCCTTTATCTCCATAATACAGGCAGCAGTCTCGGGGACCTGAAATGTTTTTGCTTGACTTTCTCTTGTAACATTTGGGTCAGATGAAGACAGAAATGAGTAACCTTGAGAACAACTAAAATGGATACTTTCTCCATTGCAGAGTCCGCTGTGTTTTCCTGGAAAAGAAGTAAGCACTTATGCTGCAGACAAGACAATGGTGCAATATTATACTATTCACATTGTATTTAATAATGCTCTAGTACCATTCAATATAAATAAATAACCATTAAAAAGTACTTTCTTGACATTCTCTTTCATTCATCAATAGTATTTTCTGCAACAGGAAAGGTTAGTAATATTCATTGGTTGGTGAATTGGATGAATCTCAGAGAACATGAATATCAGGTACTAATATGCTAGTAAAAACCAGGCACTGGGATGCCTTCTCTTGTTTAAATACTTCAGGCTTGATCTGCAGCTTCCCTCCTTACTGCATTCACTTCCCCTGAAGCCTGTAACTCTTGACAGCTGCTTTTCTCCTGGGCTCTCCCACCCAGCTCTGCTAACAGCCATCTCAACTTGTGGTGCCTATTACTCACCTACCCTTAGCTGATACACCCTGGCCAGCAGCAGTCCTTGCTGTCCTTAGGCTGGTCTACAGGGAAGAGTATTTGTGCTGAACAGGTCCAAATATCTGCTAGCCTGGAATATCAGCTGCATACATTCATGCTGTCCATACAAGGTCTTGGTTCTGCACAATTTAGTGACAGACAGAACTTCTTGATTCACAGAAAGTGTACTCCCCAGGGCCAGGCTGGGGCAAGAACGGAGATGGTGTGGTAGGGCTGGTCTTGAGAGCTGAATCTGACCAACACTGAACTGACAGTGTAGTACATACAGGAACAGTAATTTTGCTTTCTTCTGCAGGTGTAGAAAGAACAACTCTCTAAAAACATGTGTATGGTGTTGCAAAGAGAATAGATCCTTGCTACAGACTCTCACTGTCAGTGTCAAAAGCCTATGTAGTACCTGTGTGAGATTAAAGGCCTGAGAATTAATCATCATTCCTCCTTCTGTTCATACGGGCAGAAACCCTGCCTATCTCAGAGGAGAAAATGGAGGATCATAAATCAACTCCTTTATTCCCTCACTCTTGCTCATTCATTGAAATCACAAAGAAGGGGACCTAATCTTGGTTTAATGCTGGGTAGAAGCTTTGAGCCCTGGTGAAAGGATGGGTTGGCAAAGCCCACTGGAGTGCAAGCCCTGTTACCTTCTGAAGAGGACAGGACAGAAAGCTCTGAGAAATGCAGAGAGAAAAGCATTTTGTGTATGCTAGGCTTCCTTCATGCTATCCAGTACCAGTATGCCAGACCCTTTCTCTGTAAGGACCTTCCTAGGGTTCAGACACTGTTTTTTCAGCCCATTCAGTATTTCTTCATAGTGAGACAGCTGGCAGGGTGGCCTCATACTGCTGGGTGTCTTCATCTGGACAGACCCTGGCCTAAGCCTTACTGAACACAGTCTCCATTTTTCTTTTTGTTGCCTCTTCTTTAATTTCTCCCATCTCCCTCTCTGAAGGGAGGCATCTCATCCCCTTTGCCCCCTCCTGTACTTTAGTCCCCTCCTAGCAGGATGCATGACGGCTCGTTCTCCCCTGAGGGGGCATGGACCAACTCCCTCTCTCAGATACCCTTCAAAGAGCCCCCTTCATGGAGGCTTCCCAAGATCCCATGGGGACTATCTGTTGAGTGAAGCACTCCTTTGCTCATGTTTTTACCTCACAGTGATTGATTGGGAGCCAGAAACTTGGTGCCACCCACGTCTCTTGCATAAAGGAACTATAATTTCCTTCGCTGTACTTCCCTCCTTGCTGTGTTTCTGATTATTTTGCCAGTTTAAGACACCATTTTAAAGAAACCCCAGGGAGCACAAAACATATGACATTCATCGGTGAACACCAAGCTCTACTGTTTTGAGGCGAGTGGATATGAATATGTCAGGTGATCTAAGCTAAAAATCAAAACTAAACAAGGAATAGGCAGAGAAGAATTAGTGTATAAATAAATCAACAAATAAATAAGTTTTCTGTTAGCCCAGAATTCCTTGGGTGAGGGATGATTCAGTTGCTTATAACTTTTCCCCAGCTGTGAAATCCTTGATGCATTTTGAATGCCTAAAGCCTTGTTTCTCATGGCCTGAGTGAAGAAGGTTTTCAAGATATGCTCAAAGGGGTTTCTGGGTCATTCAAGGAATCTTCCTGGAAAAGTCACAGCAACATCACTCCCCACGCACACACATGGTATCAACACTTGTGCTTTTAATCCAGTGCATCCTTCTTTTGGTCCTCATTTGCACCTCCTGCTTTGTGGGCTGCCTTCCACCTGGCTGTCTTCCTGTTCTATTGAGGGAAAGGGAAACCCTTCCACATGACACTAACTCCTCTCTCTTCACAGCATCACATGCCCCTTTCAAAGTTCAGCTGGAAAATCTTGTCACATTTGCTGTTTCAATAGTCATGTATGTGCTCAAGATAGGTTTTCCAGTGATGTCTCCCCATTCCTTGATGTTTGCACAGCAGATGAGTGCAGGCTGAGGATTCCTCTCCTCCCCCACCTTCACTTCAGAGAGTGATGGTGCTCCAGCAGGCTTCCAGGCCTTGAATATGTTCAAGTCCATCCATCTTTGCCCTTGCTTTCTGGTCCCTGCAGCGAGACACGGAGGCAGGGCCTTTGAAGTACAGTATCTGCCGGGTCTCCCTGAGCAAGAGAGGAACTTTATCCAGAGGGCTCTCTGCCTGGGGATCTGGGACAGCATTTTCCAAAACAACCTTAAGCAGGAACAGTTCAAGATCCCAGGTGAGGGGTAGGCACCAGATTGCTTCTGAACTCCCAAACCCCAAATGAGGCACTCTGTCACAGCTTCCTCTCCGACACTGAAGGCTGATCCATGTAAGTATCTGAATGCATCCCTCAGAGGGAGAGTGTCTCAGGCTAGCTTTGCTTTAAAGCCGGTTTGAGAGCATACCAACCTCAGGCCAACAGGTCCACATTTGTGCTTTAATGACAACTCCTGACCTTGAACCACTGAAGCTCAGGCTTTACCATATGCCAGGAGAGACCTTTGCAGGCACCTGCACCCATCCCAGATGTCAGCTCCTATGCTGGCACAGCTGAGAATGAAGATCACATCTAATAAATTTTAACGAATGGTTAGAAGTACAGGGCCCATAGGGGAAGGGAAGCACTCCTCTCCCAGGTGGGGAGGATCGCAGGGCACCACATAAGCTCTGTCCCCGCTTATTACGACCTTTTTGGGCAGTGGGAGCTGATCAGATTGGCGACATTTGGGGGTGTTTATCATCCTCCAGCAGTGGAGCAGAGTGCTGGGCAGAACAGGTAGGGTGCACAGCTGCTATGGTTGCTGACAAACTTCAGGAATGATCACAGCCCGCTGCCTCTGTCAAAACAAACACAAGACGAGGTAAGAAGGAAATAGAGGTGTCAATACAACATCCCAGTGTAACAGAGCTATCCCATGGTTGAGGCAAACACCCGGCAGGGATCAGCAAACAGGTTCCTCAGCCACACTGTGCAATCCCAGCTTTGGGCTGGGATATGGCTGAAGAGCTGCTCATTCTGTTTACACTGCAGGGTCAGAGCTGGGAGATTTTATTTATGGATTAGATAAAGTTTTTGATGGATTTTTTTTTGTCTGCCCTTAAAAATCATTATTTTAACTTCTTTGATAATTTTTTTTTAAAGAAACAGCAGGAGGATAAGATCTGAGGATCCCTGTTCAGTCTGTCTGGGAGCTCTGAAATGCAGATGAACTTTCTCTGTTTCTGAATTTCACAAGGCAGCAGGACCCCTGTGTTGGGGTCTTAGGTAAGCACACTCTTCTCTCTCAGATGCCTGTAAATAAATGTTAGCAATAAAGCTAGGTAGTTTTTATAACACCAGTCTTGAGTGACAGTTTTTAGGACTTTAACAAAGAAAAATATGAAGTGAAAATTATTTCTGTCTTCTCAGAAGCCAAAGCCTGTGTTTCGAGGGCGTTTCAGCAGTTGGCAGGGATGTATGCTGTGATAGCTTTTGGTTACTCTGTGGCAAGCAGCTGTGCAAGTGGCCCAACTAGAGATTAGAAGCCATCACCAAATCCCACACCAAGCAAAGTCTGCCTAGTTCACATCTGTAGTCTTTGAAGGGAAAGAAGACTCTGGGAGGTCTGGGATTTAACTGGCTCAATCTGATCCTCAACAAGGACTAATTGCCGTGAGGGAAAGACAGAAAAATTCTCCCTGTTGTGTCTAAGAACAGAATATCCCCAAAGGAGTAATTTTGCCTCCTTTTTTTTACCTCAGTCCTGGCTTATCTAGATCATGTCTGTCGAGGTTCTGAAGTTTAGCTGCCTAGATAGTAAGGACCTCCAAAACACCATAGCCATCAGCAGAGATCTCAAATTAGAACTTTAAGAGAGGCAATCTAACAATTTTGCTTGACTGCCCAGTCAAGCAATTTACCTTGCAGGTGTCTCCTGGAGTGGATGCCTCCTGCCCACCTGGCAGGTCAGAGTAGCTGCCCCACATGGCAGACAGTGGTGCAGAAAGGATTGTGGTAAAATTCACTGCTAGTGCAAGTGAAAAGCTCCTTCAAAATCTACAGGGCTGACCCAGCCAACAATCTGCTTGAAAACATTGGAGAGGATGGTTTAGATAAGCATGCAAGTCCAGCTGGTGAACGTGTGGCAGCGTCTCTGTCTGTCAGACTGTTTGCTTTCATTTCCCACAACAAATGACTTGTGGGGAGCCGTTCCCATGAGAATCCATAGCTAGTGTGTGGTGTTTCTCATGGAGGATGGCTGAGTGTTTGGGCTGGGAGAGATGGTGAGAACAAAAGTGCTGATACATAAATGGCACATCTATGGAAATATCCCGTACGGACTCTGCATCTGTAGTGGAACAATCAGCCCCCTCCTCTGACAATTAGTCAAGGAGGGTCTAATCTATCTGGGATTTTATAAACCTGCTTATCCTTTACAAGGTAAGTGGTACCTCCAGACCAGTTAGCCAGATTCTGAGTGTTTATGAGCTGAGTTTGGGCAATCATACCTTCAGAATGGGTGAGTATGCAAAATGAGCCTGTTGCTGCTAGTGGATCTCACAAAAGCAGTGGTGAAAAGCGGAGCTGCCGCCTAAGCACAGGTGCCTCGCATCATTTATGTGTTGCTAAGATATCTGAGATATTAATAAAAGGCTGGCAGATACGGTACAGAGCTTGTGCCCCACAGGAGGGCCAGGTAGGCTACCCCAGGTGGCACCAGCTGTCTGTGTTTAGGCAACTGACACGTGTCCCTTCCATCTGCTGCTGGGTGTGCAGGCACAGGGATTGCTTTGCACTCTTTGTATGGCTGTCACTCAGAGATGATGAGATGGTGTGGAAATGCTGTATGCAGCTACTCGTGATGCACGCAGATCAGTGCAGAAGTTGAAATAGTCATGCCCTGTCTGTATAAAAGCTGCCAGTTTTATTTCCACTGGTAGAGCTGAGCTGAAGTGTCTGTTGGGGTCAGAACTGAAAGCAGCCCTAGAATATCTTCCAAAGTAGGACTAAATCATTCAGCATCCTGTATCCTGACACATCTATGAATTATTTCAGAAAGAGCTGGGTACTCCCAAAATGGGATATATTTATTCTTTTGAGACTTTTGGGATAGGAATCTGTCAGGGGTGGACACTGGGATCAGAAGCCATGGCATCTGGCAGAGGAGGTCATAGCTCCTCTGAAGGCTGTTCCTCATCGAGCTCTTTCTAAGAACATATCAATGATCTCTGATACATTCCTGCCCTCACCAGCAGTGATTGCCATAAGCCCACATCCTGCTGCTGACCATGGCTCTGTGAACTGCAAAGGAACTCCCTAGCATCTTCACTATTTCTAGCTGTATTCCTAGCTCTCATAATGTTGGTACCAAACCCCTCAAACTGAGAGTCTGTGTAGGTTGTGCTTTGCCAGTTCCTGTTTTGTGGTGGTCTAAGCATTCCATCAGCCTTTCCCTGCTGCGCCCACACCACAGCTGTTCACGCAGGATAAAAGCTGAAGGTGGATGCATGAAGCACTGCAGAGGTGGCAGGGCTGCTGGGACAAAAGGTTGTCTGCAGGAGTGTGATTTCCTTCCACACACTGTAGGACAACCCCCACACTAAAGAGAGTTAAGAGTTGGCAGAGAGGGTGAAACAAGGAATTTGGCTTGTCCTTAGTACTGAGTGAAGCTGCTGGGAGACTCTGCTGCCACTTTCCTCTCTGGCTGTAAGCTGGCAAAGCGTCCATGTGATCTGCAGGGAGTCTTGAATGAGTACGAAATTTCTTGTGCAAAGAGTGGCATGGTGAATTATTGGGACAGTCACATATGCAGTTTTTGAGGAAATAATAGCATAAATAAGGAAACAGGTACACATTATTTGCCCTGCTAAAAACAATAAAAACAAAGGTACTCACACCCTGGAGCTGGCTCTTTGCTTACACCTCTACTCTGGGATCTGTAAATCCACGCTTGCCTTCATTAACCAGAGTGGGCCTCTCAGTTCTTGTGTGCCAGACCAGCACCTAGAGAGAAACACAAAGAGTTTAAGGGTTCTGGATGCCATGGAAACAGTGAGAGTACCACATCCACTGGGTGGGATACTCAGAAACCTGGGGCTCACAGCTGTTTGAAGCATGTGATTCAAAGGGGTTGATCCTGGGAGACACTTCACAGGTGCATGAAACAGTGACAAGGAGGAGGAATCATTCTGGACCAAAATCCCAGACTCAACCCTCTGCCAGTCCTCCTGGATTTTGGAGAAGCAGTCTGGGCACAAATTGTACATCTGAGGTTCTTTATTAACACAGAATGCATAACACTGCTTGTCAGCTCTCTCTGAGCTTCACATCTGTGAAGAATTTGGCAGGCTTTGTCCACCTGTCCCAGCACCATTTGGCACTGACATGTGCCACCACAGGGCAGGAACAGTGGAAGGTGGAGGAGCAAAACAGGAGGCTGTAAAAGCAGACAGGACCCAGCAAGGAGATTACATCTTCAAGGTTTCTTGTCCTACTCACCTTTGTGCAGTTGGCTGCTTTGGGCTCCAGCCCATCCATAGTTACTAGATCCTTCAGGAGACTGGTTTCCTGGTAGCCTCCCTTAACTCCCTCCAGCTTGAAACTGGCATGAGGCTTCTCCAAAATCAGCTTGATGCTGATAGCAAATCCAGCCATGTCAATAGCAAAGGGACGATTAGGGTCAAAGACGGTTTTCCAGCCCACCACCTTCCCTGCTGGGCTCACTTTTGGGGATTCGTATCGCAGCCCCCCAACAAAAGCCACTGGCCAGACCGACACCCTCCTTGTGTAGCGCATCTGTGAGCCGGAAAGAGACAGTGCGGTGAGAATTCAACCCCACAATGTTTGTCCCAACCCATTAGTGTGCCATTCTCTGCTCTCACTGGCACCCGTCCTCCCCTGTTGACTTCCCACTCAATCGCATTGCTCTAGGCAGCACATCACTCTAGGCAGCACTCGTGCTACTGCTTGAAGAGCTACAGCTTCCTAAGCCACAAGACTGTTTTTTAGCACATTATCTTCTGAACACCTGCGTCATTGCTTCTCTGTGCCCATGTTCAGTCCCTCAGAAGAATGAAAACCTTTGGTTTTCTGATCTTGTTTGAAATTTTATCCTTTTTTTTTGGTAGCATTTTATCATTTTTGTAAATGCCATATACAACTTCTGCCAGGCTTCTAGCTCTGTATTATCAACTCCACTCATTCCAGTTTCCTCCTCATGGAAGTAATCTCCCCCCACGATTGATCCATCTTTTTCCTCATTTATTATACTTTCTCCCCCAACCCCCAGCCTTGTTTTTTCATCCATGGCTATTGCCTGAAAGAGTGTGGTTTTATTGAAATTGTCAGAAGGGATCTGGAAAGAAGTAAGAAAGGATGAGCTTAACAGAGATCTAAAAAATTCTGAAAACTGGAAATATGTTCTGATGCATAATTCTGCACTTCAAGTGGTTTAGTACAGTTTGGATTTAATTGGTGACAAGGGAGTTTACTGGATTTTTGCAAGTTTATTGTAAACTTGGCATCTCACAAAAGCCAGGTTTCCAGCCGAAGTCTGGGCAAGCTTCTGTGATCCCAGAGGCACAGCCCTGTTGTGGTGGCTGGAACTGAAGTACTGAAGGGCAGCCAAGGAGTAAAGGCAGATTAGAAATTCAGACAACCTTTCTACCATCCCCTACCCATCACACCCCTACAGGAGTGCAGACTTATGCTTTGCCAGAAGTTTGTCTTTGGTGCTTATTTAAATTAGGTCAGCTGTCCTTGAGGTGAGGTATAAATTCTGGGGTATATATCCTCTGATCCCTGGCAAAAGGGACTCTAGCTGGTGCAACAGTGTGTGAGCGGCTATTCCCATCTGCAGCCTGTACCATGGCAGATGTGCTCTTTGCCCTTTAAGCCTTTTGGAGCATGGCTCCTGGGTTTGCATAACTGCAGGTCTTTGCAAGTGCAACTGGACTTAAGAGGCTCTGCAGCTATATCCTGCTTTTCTGCCCCATGTAATTTTACGCCTCTTACCTCTTCAAAGAGCTCCAGGCTGTAGGTATTATCATCATCGGCAAAATACACCACCCCTTCTGGTGGTGCGGTGTTGCTGAAGCTGTCCCTCAGCCAGTGCAGCCCCAGGTTCCTCTGTAGTGTCCCTCTTGGGGTGTGGGATGGGATCCAGGACAGGCCCAGCTTTAGGCTCTTGGGTGTCTCCACATTGAGGTGGGTGAAGTTGAGCCCAGCCTTCTCCAGCAGGTTGGATACCAGGTTGGTCCTCCGCGGCGAGTCCTCCACCACCACCCAGTGCAGGTTCTGTACGTGTAGGAAGGTGTTGGCCAGGCGGGTCAGCTCAGCTTTTTGTACCGGCCGAGTGTAGGTAGGGGTGATAACAAAGATGGTTGGCAGGGTGTCTGACCATGGGGGAGGCCTGGAGTACACATAATTCTGGATGATTTTAGGGGTAGCCCCTATGCTTTGCTGCTGCCGAGTGCATGATGGGAAGCCTTCTTCTCTCAGTGCAGACGTACCATTGAGGAGAGCTTTAGAGGTCACGTTCTCATCTGTCTCTTCTGGGGCCAAGGAAGGAAGGAAGGAGAAGAAGAAAGAGAAGGAGAAAAGATCAAGAAGATGTTAGAGGACTAACAACTGCTGGGCTGCCTTCTCTTCAGGGAGGATATTGGCACACATCTGTCTGGAGTTAGTGCTCAGCACAGCAGCATCCCCTTCTCAAAGCCAGCCTAAGATACATGTTTAACATACTCTTAAGAACAGTTTATGTGCCTGCTGTAGGCAAACCCTTAGGGGGCCTTCAGGTGAACTTATATTTGTTTAACCCATCCCACTAGAGAGCACCTCCTACCAGGGTTCCCACCAGCAATCCTCACAACCACAGAGCACACTGATAGCAGAACTCTTGCACTTACTTCTCAGCAGGCTGAGATAGTGCGTGGTTGGGTACTGATGCCACAAGGTTAGGAGAAGAGCCCATGGCAAGGCAATCAGGAGCGTGGTAAGAAGGTTACGTCTCCTCAGCATGCTGCAGGGAGCTTCCAACGCCCAGGCATCTCTCTACCTTTCAGAAAAGAAAAAAGAGTAAGGCCTCCAAAATATCAATCACCACAAATGCAGGGAGACGTGATAAATGTTTGGCCCTGATCCAGCAAAGTGTTTGTCTAAGTTTACAAGAAGCCCCATTAACATTGCATGCCCAAACCATTACCCAGCTGCCCTGGCCAACTCTGGTGCTATTGAATAAAGCTTTTAACTATTTATGTTGCTATAAAGAACTTCCACTGTCTCATGATGAACCCACTGTCCTTAATTTAGGGTTGTTCTACTAACTTTTCCATGAAATTCCAGCTGTGGTCATTCCACAGTGCTGGTGATGCCTACTGAGAGTTTAGTTATTCCACATCCCTTTCTACTTCTGGCTTGCAGCGTTCAACCATTGCAGCATTTAGTTGAAATGACAGACTTCAGAGTACCCACCAGGCCCCACCAGATCCTCTTGCTGTCCTGGGCTGAAGGCCAAGGAATTTTATGTGTACTGAAGGCCAATCATCTGAACCCAGGGTCCTCAAAGGGACCTAGGCGCATTTTGTTCAAAGGCAACTCCTTGTCAAGGATTTGGGTCTAGCAGCTCCTCGTCTGTCCAAATGGGACGGATTGCCTTGCTTCAGCCTTGGAGAATTATGTGAGAAGAAACATGACAGCTAGTCCAAAAGGGCTCCGCTTTGCAGTGGCAGCAGCCACAGGGTACTCCTGGAAGTCATTAGGAGATGCTATTCTAAATTTATCCTCTGGGACCTTCTCAGAATCTCTCTTTAATTGTTTCCCTGACATTTTACCTTGGTGTCCTGAAAAAACAAGGATTATGCAATTGCGGGGCTCATTAGTGCCCTACCACCAATAATTATCAAACCTATTTCAGCCAGATCTGACAGAAGACTAGCATATCTCAGCAAAACTTCAAGTGGGTGCACATAAGCATTCCCTGTTAAGGTAATTACTGCTACATGAGCTCATTCCTTGTTCGACACCAGCGGTACCACACTGGAGCCATCCCTCAAGGGAACCTACTTCCACTGACTGCTCCCTGAAACAGCCATTCATGGTGATGATCTTCAGTGTTTCTTACCTACTCAATCAGTAAACACCATGGTGCCCATTTCTCTACTTTCAAGCTATCAAGAGCTGATGAAGAAGTGGGCCAAGGAACCTGTGTGGCCGGGGGCACATGGGAGTGTTTCGGTGATGCCAGCAGGAGCCTTGTGCAGCAAATATGCATAACTTCATTGGATTGTGTTGGCTGGGTCCCAGGCAGGTACAAGAGTCTCCTTCAAGCTCTAGTGCCAAAGGCATAGGTGTTTGGTAAGCTACAGGCTGGACACAGGGAAGAATGATATTACCTACACCAGGGGCTGCTTTTCCCACAGGAAATCCCTTCCCTTACTGGCACAGCGGCGCAGAGTAAAGCTTCCATCATTTGTGGCTGTGAAAACAGATAGAGCCACAAAAGAAATCCAAAGATTGCTAATAACAACAGCATATACTTAGGTCCACCCAGGCTCCTTGAAGCTCCTTGCTTCCTCTGGTAGCTTGCAATTACAAATGTCCCTGCAGTAAAGTCAGGCAGTCAGTGCTTTTTCCCTTTAATAAAAGGACTTAATTATACAGACACAGTTTCTATGCAGCAGGCCTGCCACTGCTGCAAACTCAGGTTGCTTCTGGAGGGAAGGAGAGGAGGAGGCAGCAGTGGCAGCTGTGTTACCAAGAGAGCACAGAGGAGAATGGATCAGAGTTAGAATAATTTTTAACGAATTCCTTTTCTAGTTCTTTCTCCTCCTCCTCCTTCAAGCCATCCCTGTTCATGCTTCCCGAACACTGCAAACAAGTGGAGATGCTGTCTGTGTGTGCAACTCCCCTGGTGCTTTGTGCTCATTTATTTCTACATGCACCTTCTCTCTATTACTTTTCCAAAGCAAGCAATACTGATCAAGTCAAGCCTTGCATAAAGCCCTGGGTAACTTGTCAACCTTGCAGAGGAGCTGACTTTAACCCTATTTTCAAAAGTATCTCTTGGAATACTTAATTTTCTCTTTAAAATGGTGCCTTATCTCCCCCCCTTTCTCCCCCTGCATCCATCATGCTTGTGCTCTTCTTTGTTGCTTTATATCTATCTTTCACCTGCCTTTTCTCAATCCTTAAGAGTCTCTTTTCTTACCTCTTTCCAGGACTGGAGGAATCCCCTGGCTTACTAATAATTTTAGCCTTTGTCTTCTATCCTTCCCCACACAAAGGCCCTTTGAATTCTCTTAATGTCCACCCTGCATAGAATATTTCCCACAAAGTGGTCCATTAAAGCATCAGCCCATCCTTTTGAAAACACAGCATGAGAACCCAGTCACATATCAGTGCCTCTGAGTAGCCTGCTGATGGCCCCAGTGGGGCTTACAGAGGTTTACTGCACATATTTTTACCTACTTTTTATAATTAAAAACAAAGTCTCCTAAGTGGTTCAGATTAATTGCATGCCTGCTGGCAAGCATTACGGTGTATATTCTTGGCACAACCAGCTACCTTCCTTCTGCCTTAAACTCTTTCAAGTAGATCCTATTAAATGAGATTGAAGATCAGAAGAAAATTTTGTGATCATCTAAACCCATCTCCAGCGATCATCTGGTAATTCCTGGGTTTAAGCTGTAGAGGGCAGGGACTATCTCTTGATGTGCTTGTACAGTCCGGCACTGATCCCAACAGGAGCCTTTGGATGTGCTCGCAATACAAATATTATTGATTGCACTCTCTTGCTGGCAGTTCTCCTCCCTTGCTATTTCTCCTGTCCTGCCTATTCCCCTTTCCTTTTCTTTTTTTTTTCCCCCTAGTGTCTCCTGCAGCCCTTGTTTGTGTTACACACCCTTAACAACATTAGCTGGATGTTTGATGGATGCCTTCAATATGCTGCCTGTAGCCTTCTTGAGCTGTTTTCCAATTACACATCCCTCTTCTTAATTTCATCCATCAATCTTCTGTTCTCCATTAAAAAATAAACAAACGCACACAGAGAGCACAAAACTGAGTATGGTAGGGACAGAATGTTTCTTGTACTACTCTTGTTTCATGCTGCTTTGTCAGACTTCTCAGTTCCTGGGACACCACAGCATTCAGTCTCCATTTAGGCTCGTATGCTGATGCAGGGGGCCTTGATCTGAAAGGATTCAGGAGAAGAGAATCAGAGAAGCACACGGTGGGAAGAACCGGATGCCCCAGACTGATACTGAAGAGAAGCAAGATCTGGCTGAGGTTCAGAGCATTGCATGTGACCAATCCCTTCATCTGCTGTTGACTAATTACCAACAGAGTACAATTTGTTACAGGTAGCATAGCCCAGATGTTGAGAGAGGGATAAGGATTCCAGGCTGGAGAACAACCCAGGCAGTGACTTTCTCCCTGAGCTGCAGAAGAGTTTGAAAGGACGTGCTGAGTGAATAGCAGAGAAAAGTGAAAGTTAGGGAGAGGCCCAGCTGACTGTGGATTATCAGGCTGACATATGAGTTCAGGTGCCTGCAATTTTCCTACAGCCCTCTGCTCAATTTACACCCTCCTTGATAATTCAGAAATTAATTAGAATCACATGGTCTTTGGTAATTCTGTTCTGAGGTTTTGGTTCTGTCCTCCACCTGCTTTATCTGGAATGAGAACCACACCTTTTGAAAAGTTTGGTCTGCAAGAAAGGTGATTTTGCAGCCTCTGGTTCAGGGCAGCCAGTCTGCCCCGAATGCTGAACCAGCCACAGGACTGTACAGCTATAGCTGGAGACACAGGCTGCAAAGATCATTATCTTCCCAGAGGGACAAATTTCACAGTTCAAAGTGTCCCCTGGGAACATCCCTGCCATCCAGTGTAGAGATTTTCTAGGCGAGCACTCAAAGCAAACTAGTACCAGCTAACAGAGCCAAAAGTTTCAAGAAACATTCACTAATCTTGTTTTGCAGCATGTTTGCAAGCCAACCATTCTGTGCGTACCCTGGGAAGAGAGAGGCGTGGAGAGGGGAGGAGAGAGGGGTGTGAGGGGCAGAACTGGAGCAGAGCTGCAGGTAGATGCAGATGATTCTTAATTTCATGCACTAAAACTGTCAGCAGGGTTTTTGGTTTGTTTTGCCTGCGTTTTGCTGCCTCTCTCCATCAGCCCCTAGCCACCTTGAGGAAGTCCATGCAGATTTCATGAGTTCCCTAACTCCCGGTGTGGGAGATGTGATGCCGAAGGCAGAGCAGGGAGCTTTCAATTATTGATGAGAGCGACCTCTCTTTAAACAAGGAATGCATAATTCATGGCAGCGCCGGTATTTGTGGTGAGCAGCACCGGCTCAGTCTCTGCTTTGCTGAAATGCACAGGAAGCTGCTGTCCCCTCTCCCCCCCCACTCCCTCAGGCCCATCAGAGCCCTCAGCCAAAACTACAATACTGTTTAAAATCGAGACAGGCCACGATGCTGCAGCGCTTCCCCTCACCAGGCAACTAACTGCCTGCCTGTTTGAGATGTGCTTGATAAAGTGGGAGGATGGATTCAAGGAACCACAGAAGTGGGTGGAATGGGTTATTGCTCTGGAATAAGCAGGGGTAATTACTGTGCAAACACGGCCACACAGGACATCTCTCAATAGTGAGACTTCTCTGACCCCGAGACAGGTCTGCAGGAATAGCATCATTGTAGGACAGAAAGGATAGGCTAGATCTAAAGGACAGTGCCTGAGGGTTCACGGTCAGCTGCACTTTTTGTGGGGGTGGGAAAGAGAAGGGAAAAAGGGAAGTTTGGTTTTCTGCTCAATAAATAACAATTTCTCCCCCAAACTCTGATGGAGCAGGGTGGTTGAGAAGCAAAGGGGACAAAAAAAAAAAAAAAGAAGGAAGAGTATTTTTTTCCAGGAAGGGAAATGTTAATTATGGAATCATGGATTGTTTCAGACAGAGTGGCATTTGTGCATCTGAAAGAGTGTATTAATGTCTGTTTTGGAAGGTCATAGAATCATAGAATAATTGAAGGGTATGGGTTGGAAGGGACCTTCAAGATCAT